TTTTTTTTTGAGGTTTGCCAAATTTGTGTATTTGGGCGTCCAAGGCTCGTTAGAATTCTCTGCAACCTGCGCGTGGTTATAGACCATCCCTGTGTTTCATACTCCCCCCTCTCGACCAGCCGCAATTTCCTTTTTCTTAAGGTGCCTCTCACGACCCCTCTTGCTTCATGTGGGCGTGGCTACGAAGATCTGACTCCCTGGGCTGTAGGAGCAGGAGGAGGGAGGAGGAGAGAAAGAGCGACAGGGCAGAGAAAAGTGTGTGAAAGTAGGAGAAAGAGGAGAGGAGCTTCACTAGGATGACCACCAGCAGAAAAGAGGACGAAGAGGCAGTCGGCGAGAACCGAACCTATAGCGGCACCCACCCATAGAAAAGAGTGTGGAAGGAGGAGAAAGAAGGGACGAGAAGGCAGAAGGATGAAGAAGCCGTCAGTGAGAACAGAACCTATAGTCACACCCATCTCCAGCATGTCAGTGTTCACACACGCAGTCAGTAATTCTTCCTCACTTCTCTTGCTTGCGCTGGCCAGAGCAGAGAAAGGAACAGAAGGCAAAAGGGAAGAGGGTGGGTTGTGCACACGCAGGCATAGGCATGTTGGTGCTCTTTTCGTTCTCGAAGAAGAGAGGTCGGGGAGGGGGGGGTGTATTGGCCCTCATGCGGAGGCTTTCTAGTCGGGCTTAGCGGTATTTACTTGCCTCTCAAATATAACAACGCCTCATCCCCCTAGGCTCGCCTTTGGAACTAACAGGTTTTATAACAACCTCTGTTGCTTCAGCCATGTCCTCTGAAACCGGATGGTTCGGACACCGGACAAGGCCCCAAGTACTCGTTCGTCCCACATACCCACCAGTGGTCATGATGTCTCCCTTTTTTTTTCCCCCTTTTTTATCATACCTCGCGGTTGCAACTCTAAAAGGAAGAAGAAAACAGGTGAGTGTATGGCCCGCTAACACATGTTCAATTCGCATTCATGCCTCGGACGGACAGAGTGTGCACATCTGGAACATGCTGCAAGCACCCATGCCCATCCTTTTTTTGTTTTTGTTTTTTTTTTTCCTGTTGCAGCCATCCTGTCTTTTCTTTCCTGGAAACTGGAAGGAAAAAAACACCGCCTAGCAGGGAAAGGACTCACCTTGCTACATAGAGAGGGACCACCAGTTTGACGGCGACGATCCACTTGTGACTGATTATTCTGACGGATTATTCTGTGATTAGAACGAGTCAATTATTGAGGTTGGTGGGTTCGTAATGACTGGGCTTTTGGCCCACAAGATTTAAAAAAAAAAAAGAAGAGGTTGGTGGGTTCTCACGACTCCCTATGGTCATCATCTGGTAATGGTCATAATCACTTTTTAATTAAGTTTTTAGTTTTTGATAGTTT